GGAATTTATCAACATGATAACGACTCGGATTCAATAAATTGGCACTTATTTTTAGCAAGGTGTAGGTATGTTAAGAAGAAATAATGTCTTCGAATAGTCGGGTTTCTCGTAGCAACTTAGTTGTGGACCATTCGACATGGCATAAACATATATCTGCCAATTTGCTCACACACATCTATATAGATAGAAGAAGATGGATAATAATTACACTTAGAATTTGAATTTTAAATTTGATATAAAGATCTACCAAAAGATCTCTAAATGCGATTTATGGGTAAATTTCCATAGTTGGAAAATTACTTTCAACGTGATACATACATAGAGCAATATAGAATAATAAGAACTTTTTTTATAATAAAAATTTTTGAACTTGATTACTTATTAAAAAGATAATAATAAAACTTAACACCAAATATGTTTAAAGAATAGATTTAACTCATTATAGATTCTCTAAAAAGACTGATATCCAATTATCACTGTTTGGTAAATGGGTATTTGAGGGAGTGCGCTTAGGAAGATGGATTTGGAGAAAATAGTCTAAAAAGACTTCTAAATTTTTTGTTTGGATTGAAAATTTAATATTAGGTTCTCAAATTTGACCTTTTTTTAACCGAATGTTAAACTCATGATTATGAGTTTCATTAAACCTGAGAAGGTGGGTTTGGGAATATATGTTGAGGGTTAAGGATACAAAAGACAAATTGTACCATTTAATATGAGTATGAATTGAATTGATCAAGGGTGAAATAATTATTTATAGTACAAATAATTGTTAATAATTATAATATATTCATGAGTCATACCAATCTTAGATATAGATCAAATTTAATGTTGAATCCTATCTTTATAAAAATGGATTTAAATTTAAAAAAATTTGAGAAAATAAATCTAAATCCTTCCAAAAAATTCATTCAAAAAAATTCATCCAAACAAATCCAAGAGCTTTGAACCGTATTAGAAGTCAATCTTCTTTGGTGGTGAAAACAAGAAGACAATTATTACCATGCCAAAGGCCCAAATTTAATTCCCACATGTCGCTTGATAGGTCTACGCCCCGCACTAAAGTATTGCGCATGAGTTCAATCGTAACGTTATTAGTCATAACTCATACTTTAAGTTACGATAAAATATAAAATTTGAGCACTTAAAAAATTAATTTTATTATATTAAATAATAATTTTTCTTTCTTTTTTTCTTTGATTACAACATTTAAAATTTATTTTTCTTCATTATTTTCTTAAAAATATTGACAAAATTTTCTCAAAATATGTAATTTGATAATTTTTTTTGAATATGTGTATATTATCGTATATAGATAATATTTAAAATAAAAATTATGTTAAACTATAAATTAATCAAATATTAAATGATTGAACATATAAAAAAAATAAGTGATGTCATGTTTTTGGGGAGAAAATATGTATTAGATAAAAATTCAAAATTGTTAGATGTTTTATTATATAGATCGGATGATAACTCGATTAATCAACCTGATTCTTATAATAAATGGGTCAATATGCTTCGTATTATGTACAACTTACACATACCATAAATGAATTTAATACGATATGGATCCAACTATGCACTACTATAACTTAATTGAATTTAAATGGAAAAAAACCCATAAGGTTGGTTTAGTGACTAAGTTTACCATCAGATAACTCAGAGGTATCAGATTTAACATTTTTCATACCCCGTGAGGGCTAGTCATTTTTGTTCCTTATGGGACATGTTTTAAGACCACTAAAACTACGATGTTCAGTATCCGGGTTCGAAGGAATAATCAGCACAAGTTTATACACCCTGTAGTAAAAAATAAAAAAAAAAAAAAAAAAAAAGTAAACTACAATGACCAGTATCTGAGTTCGAGAAAGTAATCAGCACAAGTTTGTACAACCTGTAGTAAAAAATAAAAAATAAATAAATGGAACAAATATTTAGTACACACGATACTGACATAGCCCATTGTCATCCCTAAGATCACTATGTATCCTAACGGACCATATAATTAGACAGCAAGCTATGGTTGTCAGGGGTGAAAGGTGTTAGGTTTGATCCTTATTCCTTACATTGTAAACATGCAGAAACACATTCATGTGTAAATTCATCACCGGAGCAGATTCCATAACCTTGGGGTTACAATAGTCATTAAGAATTCTTTACTTCTGTTTTCCAATTTTCGGTAACAAGGGATGCGAGTCAAAAAATGCACCCGTCTACATCTTTTGTGCTAAATATGTAGGAAAAATATCCTAAATCCAAAACACACTCCATATTGTGCAAGTGCAAGGTAAGAGAATAGATACTTCTCTCATGGGGGAAAAATATTGAACAAAATACAAGAGATACTATCACAAACCATTCTGACTCCGCAGCACATTACTTGCAAACACTAATACACCTAAATTACATTGCTTGCTGCTTTGCTGTTTATCTTCAACAATTAGGCAGAGAGAAAAGTAAAAGATGAACAAAAAAAAAAAAAGAAAAGAAAAAAAGAATACCACCAAGATGGAGAGAGAAGCACATCTGTTGATCATGCATCCATCGTTTTGGATTGTGATACATACTATCTAAGTGATCAGGTAAGCCATGACAGTTTCCCATCAGCCTCCTAGTGTTGCAGCAGCTGCCAATCTCTGCCATTTTAATTCCCGCTGCTCCTCCAACTCTTTGGCCTTGGCCTCTTTCTCTGCATACTGCCTCTGGCACTCCTCAAACAACTCGGTATCCATTTCCAAAAACATTTTTCGAACATTAACAGTGAGACCATGAACTGCCTGGTTCCAATGTGACTGAATATTCTTCTCCAGTGACTCAAAAATGATTGGTAATATGACATTTCTGTTCTGGGCAATCAAGCTCACAATATGCTCATTATTCCACAGAAAGAGGGCTCTTTCTGCAACCTGCACCATAAATTCGCCTTTGAAAAAGATGTTGAAATGGATACAACTGGCTTACAAAGAATAAATCATAATGCTCAGCTTCAAATCTCCAACAGATAAGATTCCTAATCCAGATGCTCTGTTTGCTACATATTATACCCTTACACTAAGAATCTAACCTGTAAAAAATGAACTCCCACCACGCAAACCAAACTTCACAATGGATGAAGGACATTTTAGATATCAATTGCACAATGCTATTGGAACTAATTTGGCATTGTAGACATTAGATCATCAGTGGGTCCCAGCTGAAAGCACTACTATCAATCCAATGGTCACAATACATTATGTCCCTAAATTATGTTCCAATAGCATTAGTGATTGCACAAATAAGAACACCAACTTCCTCCGCAGAAACAGTTCCAATTGGATACATTTGTCTCATAGAAGTTGAAGCAATGGCATCCTACTTGAGTTGAACCTAGTTGTAGTTACCAATCCTTGCATGTTTGTCAAATGAGTACATAAAAGATATGCACACATTATTTGAGGAAAAGTCAATTCCAAAATCAAAACAGATCTCAAGTTCTTCAACTACCATTTCAGCCAATCCCAATCCCTCCTAATAATGATGAGGCAAGTGGCTGAATTGATTCCAATGTAGTTCACAATATTATCATCTAAAGTAATATAAATGAAGAGGAAATTAGTTTCTTATTACAATACTCCCGCATTTTGAGATACACATTCCTGTTTTCACCTGTTAATGTGCTGTCAAGATATGTCCAACAACTACAACATGTGTCTACTTCCATATGTGCTTTCACATAGGCATTGAAACACTCTGTCAGCTGATCAAAGGTAATCACTTTAAAGTTTAAACCTATGTATCTGTAACAAACACTACAACCTATGCCGGAACATCATTTGCATAAGCATGACATTAAGATGCCAAAAAAGGAATAACAGTGGAATAACGCAGCCATCAATTTCCAGTGTAGCTGCACTTATTACCAAGAAATGTCATAAGATCACTGATGAAGGAAAAATAGAGTGGACACAATAAGCCAGTCTAGAAGTTGACTTATAGTGTCTATTCTTTGTGAAAAAGAAAATTTCAAATAGGAAATATATAGCAGAAAAATCACATTGCAGCACTTCACAAGAAGCCATAGGTTCCACGCGACGAGGCAGCGTAATTATCCAAGAAAAGCATAATGCAAAATCAAGTAACCACGTTTCTTCTCAAGGAAATAGTGCACACGAAGTTCAATAGGAAATAACACATTTATCGCATTCTAGCACACCATTTACATAACAAAACTTTAATTTTAATACAATTGAAATCTTCTTAAAGTTGAAGACATGAGAGGCACACCGAGTAAATACATATAAATACAGCAGAAGCAAAAAGGACGATGATGAAAAAATAATTGAGAGAACACACATCGAGTAATGCATATTAATGCATCAAGGATCTTCCTCAAAAACAAGCAAAATGTGACAGAACACACTAGCTTGTAAGTTTTTATCTTAGCAAAACTTCTGCATTATTCCTAATCCAATCACACCATTCATAATAACGAAAAAAATCTAGTGGACTCAATGGGACTGATATGAAAAGAGAGGAAAACTTATTAAATGAAAAAAAAAAAAAATAAGTAAACAAAAATGAAATTGAAGAAGCCAGATTCCAAATCAAGTTCATCAAAGGCAGGAAAAAGGAAAGAGTAGTAAATAAATTAAAAAATAACAAAGCAAACCTGAAAGTGAGAGCTACTAAGGCAACGAGCTATCTGTCTGAAAAGAGGCACCATGCAGCGCTGAAATTCAGCAGCCTGAGTTGCCTCCAGCACTTCTTCAAGTTCCCCTAGAAAGAGAACTTCCTTCTGGCAATTGGTGACAGGCCAGTATTTCAACAAACCTCTTATTACAGTATCCGCCAACTTGTAGTCCTTTTCAACAAACTGAGTAATGCAATACGACAGCTGCTGATGATACAATGCAATTGGCTTTGGCTTGTGGAGGGGTATAAGTGCCCGGACAAGAAACAACTTATGCTCCTCTTTCATTGGCAGTGCAAAACCATTAATTATACTGCCAAGAATCTCCAAGAGCTCACCAATACCACTGTGCCTCTCTGTCTCATATATAAACCGATAAAAGATGTTATTGATTGCCTTCCTAATAAATGGGCGATGAACCATGAACTTCCCATAAATTCGGTGAAGAATAGTTTTCAAATATTCCCGTTCTCTGGGGTCCTCAGAATCAAACAAATCAAGTAGCTTTAACACAAATGAATGATCAACATACCGCTTGGCAACCTTCGTATCCGTATCAGAGGACACAACATACCGCATAAGCAACTCATACACAAGCTGTAAATGTGGCCATGAGGGCTCCAGATATGGATCCTCCTCTTCCGGCTCCATATTTTCTGAACCTGTATTTTCATGAGATGCTGGGGGCAAACACCGGAAAATATTCACTGAAATCATTCTTATCATTTCTTCTTGATTACTCTCAGTAAGTTTCCCTGAACTGGATTGTATAAAATCAACAAGCTCCACAAGGGTCTGCCTCTTAATTTCCTTTTCCCTAACCATTTTCAGTATTTCCAAAAAATTTAATTGGAAGCAACAAATTTGCAATTTCCTCAAAAACAAGTTTTGGCGTTCGGACACTGGAACGTCCTTCAACATAGGGAGAGTTTCAATGGTCCCCGAGGGCAGGGCAGCCACGATCATCGGATGTTGCTGCACCAAATTCTCCGGTGCGGCCCGAGAGGCGTGGTTTACCACCACATTGGACGTTGAAACCAAACCGGAATTTCGATTCCCCGGTGGTACGTAGCCGTAATCGCCACCATCCGATTTTGACACCTTTCGATGCCCTTTCTTTATAAATTTCTGGAACATCTCAATGCAACAAAATAAACCCTAACCCTAAAAACTATATATTCACAAAATTTGAATTAAACCATCTAAACTGCACAGACATTACAGTTGATAATAGATCAATAAAAATCAAAAGACATCCCTAACTCTGCTGAAATGCATGATGATTTCGTAGGGAAAATAGGAATGTAGCTTGGTGTAATGGATCTACAGTACGAAACGTTGTAGTGAAATTGTACCGTTGGAAATTTTGAATTAGGGAAAATTGACCAGTGGCTGTAGATCGGAACGGTGATCATTGGTCGCCAGTTGCTGATAGAGGTGATTGAACGGCAAGCGTCTCCCGGCAATCAGAAAATGAGAGATAAATAGATACACATAGTTTTAGATGGAGATGAGTGAGAGAGAGGAGAGAAGAGAGAGAGAGGGGGGGGGGGGGGGGGGGGTTGTAGAGAGAGAAAGTGATCAAAGTAGGGATAATTAAAATGATAGGAAGGCGTTAATGGAAACGAATGATTATTGATGCCCTTTTTTTTGACATTTTTATGGAATGTATATTTTGATTACTTTTTTTTATAATAAATTACAATATAATTTAAATTTTAAAGATAAAAAAAATAATTTTTACATCTCTTTAAATTTTACTTTAAAGTTAATTCGATGACTAATATTAATACCATAAATTTAATAAAAAAAATATGCTCATAAATGTGTGTTTTGAGTGAGTTTATAAAAATGTTTCTAAAATTTATAACTTTTCATAAGTACTTAAAAAAAAAAGTAGTGTTTGAAATCACCCCACCACTACTACTACCACTCCCACCTCCACCGCCCCACCATTGTCACTGTCACTACCACCGCCACTCCACTATTTCTTTTTTTCTTCTCTCTGTTTGTGATTTAATTTTGAGTATGAATATAAATATGTTTATTATTAACCATTGTTTTTATTACTTCGTGCTTTCAGGCACGAGATATAACTATTTTGTTATATAAGAGCTTCTTCAAGCATGATTTAAACTTAAATTTGAGTAAAAAACATAATTTGGTATAGAGTATTTCAATGGAAAAACTCAAATATCTACTCAAATATTTTTAAAAAATTCTCTCATTGTCTCCAAACTCATTTTTTTTGTGTCATTCAAATCATGATATTTGATAAAATAAATAAACTTCCATATCTCTCCACAAATGAGAAATTAAAAAAAAAATGAATATGTATACATCACTATATGGGAATAAAGAAACAAACCCATAATTCTAAGATTGTTCTAATCTCTTATCATTTTTTTATAAATCTAGATAAAGAACAAAAAAGAAAAAAAATATAACTATTTTGGCATGGGCCTGGTTTGAAGAATACAAAAACATACGTTTTTAACAAAAATAGAAGATTGAAGAAATAAAGTGAAGACTTAAAATTTTAGAAAGAATCAATGTCTTGAAATTGTATTACCGATAGTGTTTAACTCGAAAAAATCAAAGAAAAATTTGATGGATAGACTTAGAGATTATATAATATGAAAGATGGTTGAGATTAGAGTTTTGAAAAATAAAAAAAAATGGAAGATGAAAAGGAAAAAAAACTTACCTACAAGCCTTCAAATGATTTGTGAAAACTTTGGTGGTGGTCGGCGATGAAAGTAGCATAGTAAACAAAGGCAAGAAGAGGAAACTAACAAGTTGTCGAAGAAGTTTTTTAGTTTTGGATAGGTTAAAAAGTTATCATTATAAATTTGATATAAAATTTAAGTATGCTTCAATTTGAGTCCATAATAAGTTTTGCCTTGATTTGGTATAGGTTTGAGTCCAAAGTTGGAGAAGTTTTTTGGGCCATTTTGACTCATTTAAATTTGAGTCTACATTTGAGTCAATGTTAGAGATGCTCTAACATAACAATATATGATTTAAAAATGATTCAAATTCAATTATATATTATTGATCCCAAAAAATAGCACCAAGGTAAAATGATAATTTGGTGGTCACCAGTGAGTTTTTGCACAAAAGTCAAGGACTGAAGGCTTCGGTGGTCGACCATCTGATGATAAAGTCAGTAAAGAAAGTACATATAGGATAGATTTAGCTAGGAGGTGTTACTTACATGGGGCAACCTCATTCCCTTTATAGGCTAGGCTCATGTTATCACTGGAGCTCTACAACTGCTTTTCAAATTGGGTGGCAAGAAATATAGAACTTCCTTCCCAAAGTATCTACAACAGGTTTGATCTAAAATGGTGGGATATGGGCGAGCAAATCGATTAGTCAGTTTGGTTTTTCGAGCTGCCTCCTCACACCGAATCCAACCTCATGTGCTTGTTTCGTGATCCCCATTGGCACGTGCTTGTCCTTGGTATGTGTTTTACTCTAGGACATATTTAGCTCGATTGGTTACCCCCTAACTCGGACCGGTAGAAGGCACATTGAAGGTATTGATTTTATTCGTTCGTTGGAAGAAGTATAAGTGTCTGCTTGGTATACTCAACCACCATTGAGCCGCTATGGGCCTAGTATATAAGAGTTCTTCGCCTTCTTCTCTAATTGTCTTTGAGAGTTTCTAGAATTCTAGTGCGCCTTTGATTCCTTCCCCTAATTTCCTTTTGTATTCTTATTTCAACACAATTACTCACTCTAGATTGCATAAGTTGGAGTCACATATTTGAATTTCATTTTTATCGATTTTGCTTTCTAAGGTGGACAAATTCTGACCTAGAGCTTCTTGGGTTTTTCGTAAGTGAACCCGTTAGTGCTTGCCTTGCCTCTGTATTCGATTTTTGTCTTTCTATAGTTACTAGCAGAGTTAATCACTCCTTTCCTCCGAATTTGTGCATCAATCACCATAGTTTCTTGACAATGGTTGTCAATTCTGACCATCCTTTTGTTGAGATCATTTCGCCACTTGTGGCTCAGGCTGATGCCGCCAACGAGTAAGACTCTGTTCAAGAGTTTGGGTCCTCAACCTTGAGAATTAGCAGAGCTAAAAACATCTTTAGCTGCCTAAGCGAGGGCTCATTTGAAGAGCTCAGAGCTCGATACTCAATTCCAAGCTTTGTGCGCCTTTGGATCCCTTCTTCTAGTAAAATTGCTAATTCCTTTTTACCTGAGAAAGTTTGCTTTTACAAGTCCACCTTCTAGGCGGGGCTCCATTTCCCACTCCCTAACTATATTAAAGAGACTCTTTATCTTTTGAACCTTGTTTCTACCTAGTTGACCCCTAATAGTTGGGATTTTTTGAGTGGTATGGGCGTCCTCTAGGCCAAGGCTGATGGCATCAGTGTGCAATCCTCCTTTGTCGAGTTGTTGCACTACTATAAGCTTACCCCTTGCTCGGGGCAAGGCTTGGGGTGGTGGTTTTATTTTTCAAAGAGAGAGGGTCCTTCTCTTCTGACAGGCTTCTCCAATGTGAAGGAGTGGAAGGATAAGTTTTTCTTTGTTTCTAGCCCTAGTTGGGAATTTGGGTCCTCTGAAACTTTGTTTGGGAACTTTTTTCGAGTCCCTCATATTTAGTGAACTCCTACGCCACTTTCTAGTAAGTAATTTCTTCGGTAGCCATTTTATGTGGCCCCTTTAGATTCTAATATACCCTTCTTTGCGGGCAAGTCAAATCCCCTATCATTTGATTCAAGAGCATGGATTAAATTAGCATTTGATTACCCTACCAGGACTTCTCTATGCTTATGACCAACCAAGCTCTCTTTGAGTGACTTCTAGGGACTATTTTTAGTGGTCCTTTGGAATCACTTATTGTAACCCCTCCTTCAAAAGGTACAGATCTCTGTTGGTTTGCCTAGTCTTTTGTTGTGGGCTTGTTTTGACCTTGATTAATTCTCCAGCTATGGCTCCAAAGCCCATTGACAAAAGAGTCCTCCATGCTATTGCTACCAAGAGGGTATCAGAAACCAGACCATTCTCTTGCAAGCGGCCGAGGATGTCTTTTCCTCAAGGGAAAGAGATGTTTCTGATCTTCGGTGTTTCTCCAAGATTTTTTTCAAACACTGAGGTCACCTTTGGGGGTGACTCTTCCCAAATTACTATTGAGTTAGTTAGGTCATCTCCTCTTGTAGAGGTTCCCATTATCCATCCAAAGGATAAAGAGAAAAGTTTAGCTCCTAGGACCATCAAGGAGAAGAAGCATACCTCATTGCCCCTTCCTCCTCATCCAGCAATTGTTCCCTATGCTGTGTGGGATAATGTGGAGGAGGTCATGACCCGAATTCATCAATTCATTCATAAAGATGAACTACAAGCCACTATTGATTTGGGACCATCCTAGGTCACCAAGAATTTGGTCCTCACTGTTGGACATGTAAACCTTCAATTCCTTTAAATTTGTTCATTCCAACTCTTCGGCATCCGTTTTCCTCTTCCTTTTTTTAGCCTACCATTTTGACCACAAGCTTTTTCTATTTTATGCTAAGTGAGAGGAAGTCTCTTGAAGAGGGAATTCAATCCCTTCGCTCCTAGCTTCAGGTGAAAGAGGTGGAGCTGGCCTCTGCTCGCAGGTTTGTTTCTCTTTCCAAGGAAGTTACTGAGAAGAATTCTAATCACCTTTCCTCTATCGAGAAGGATAGGGACAAGGTTGTCAAGCTCAATAGTGACCTGTAATCCCAGCTGAATGGGGCAATGGTTGAGTTATTTGAGCTCTCTGTGATAAACAAGGACTTGGAAGATGAGAGAGAGATCCTTTCTCAAAAAGTCTTAGAGTTCTCAACTTTTACTAGGCAAAAAAATGCTAAGCTAAAAGCTGCCAGAGCTCTAGCATATCAAGATTCCGCGGAATTTAAAGAATAGATGTTGGAGTATTACATTGATGGATTTGAATACTTTTGGAAACGGGTCAAGCAAAAATTTTATGACTTTCTTTCAAACCAGGAGAGGATGTTACTCCAGTGGCTGTGGACAACAAAGAAATTGGCGATGGCGAAGAGGTGGATAGGCTGACCCTAACGGGAGAAAAAGAGTTGGCCTTGGTTAATGTCAGCGACCCTTCTGATGTGACTAAGGAATCTACTGGAGTAGCATTGAAATGACATGGAGTAGATAGTTATGCTCTATCTTAACTGGTTTGCTACCAAAAGGAATGAATATTGTCATTTCGACTTCACGATGCCTTGAACATTGGTGATGTCATATCCTAGATGTAGGTGTCCTACATTTAAATCTATTTAAGGAATAAGAACAAAACCCTTACTTAAGCCTTCAAAACTCTATATTCCTTATCATTTTTCTTTTAAACGTTTCCTCCTACTCTTTATAGATGCTCAACGTTAAGTCAGAACCTATAATAGGCATGCTTTACTATTCATGGAGCCTGCCTGGGTTGACTTGCTGGTCCCTAGCATCATGATAGTAGCAAACTTGCTGGCGGTCTGGGAGCTCTATGGGTTCCCTACTGGGATCCAAGTTTGGGTCCCCACTCCCGA